GGCAGGTGTTCAGCCATCTCCAGGAAAGCAGGGCTCCATCACGTGTAACAGTTACTTGGGAAGACAAATGCCATCGCTCCGAATGTCCCCCCCTTCCTTCTTCCCCCAGCTTTATATGCTGAGGATGACGTCATATGATATGGAATGTCCCTTTGGTCAGTTGGGGTCAGCTGTCCCAGCTGTGTCCCCTCCCAGCTTCTTGTGCACCCCCAGCCTACTTGCTGGTGGAGTGGAGTGAGAAGCAGAAAAGGCCTTGACTCTGTAAGCGCTGCTCAGCAACAATGAAAACATCCCTGTATTATCAACACTGTTTTCAGCATAAATCCAAAACATAGCCTCATACTAGCTTCTGTGAAGAAAATTAACTCTACCCCAGCCAAAACCAGCACAGTTATTTAGTTTATGAAGGAGAAAAAAGCCTCTGCTTGAAGTCTTCTGTTGATTTTTGTTTTCTAGAAGATGACTTGGAACTGACACTAGTGCAGCTTGTCACTGTTGGTGTGCGCCTGTTAGTCTTTGGGCTGCACATTCCTATACACTGAAATAACAGGTCTGTTGAAGATGGAGAAATAATAGAAGTAGTTTATATGAATGGAAGGAACTTAATTGAAGTAGAAAAAAAATCTACTCCCCTTTTAGTGATTAAATAATTTTCCAAATATTCATTAAACTTTTGTTTAAAATACACAGATAATAAAATATAGATCTTGTGTAACACTTTTTTTTTTTTTGAAGTAGCTTTAATGTGGAAAACCGTTGGAAAACAATCAAATAAGACTTGTGATGCAAGTCTTTATTTTGGGAGGACTTGACTGTAACCTTTGAACAGGCTTCTGTGAGTGGTGACAATATGCCAAGTTGGGCATGAAATCATAGTAGGGTAGAGGACCCTGAGGTACTCTGTATGTAGGATACACTTTTGCTTGAGACTTCATATAAATGTTAGTTGAGGGCTAGGGAGGGTATCATAGTGTGAGGGAGGAGTGATAGTGTGAAAGATAGCCGTATTCCTGATTTTTCTCTGTGAAAGACATTCTCCGAGCTGTGATGCCTGCTTTGATAGGCTGCTAGTTCTTTGCAGATGGGTGGATGCAAGACTTCCTTAACAACCAGAACTGTTACACAAAAATAATGAGAGTAGTAGCTTAGTATTCTCACTGTGTGCATATTATTTAATGGGTTATTGGAGCTTTGATGCAAGGTGGATTAAAAGCTCTTACACTCAGTGCTTTAATGCAGGCCTTATCATTTATATCTCTGTGATTGAAATATAGCGGTTTTACTGGTATCAGCTATGTTTTAGATGGTGTTACTGAAAATGTTTAAAAGGTTTTTGAGAGTTAGAGGATGCGTAAAATATTCTGTGCTAACTTTAAACTGTTAGCATGGCAAGTATTTCAGGATATTTTTTTTTTTTCCCTTGGCATCCTTTGTAAGATGTTTTGCTTTTTTCTTTGATAGTCTCAGCCTGCTGTTAGTGACGAATATAGTGAAGTTCCATGTGCAGTGAATCTTGTCTTAAGATTAAGGTAAGAGATTCTTCTATTTATTTTAGTGTTCCTTTTTAGTTGGCTGTATTATTCTTGATCTCTCTCATTACTTTCATAATATTAATATAAAATAAGTGTTAACTTCTTTAATCTCCCAGTATGACCAGTATGAATAGTGTTTCTGTGACTAATTGCTGTCTTTTAGTTGCTTACTGAAATGGTGTAAAATGAAAAGCAGAATATGAATGTGGCTTCAGGCTAAGTGTACCCTTCATTAAGTATTTTCTTTCTTTTTTTCCTTGCAATGCAGGATCACAGTGAGAGATTTTTAATCAGTTTCTTTCACACTTCAGCAGTCAGCCTCTGACAGAAATAAACCATAGCTGTATTACAAGTTGCCTACTCAAAACGTTTTTCACTGGCAAGTTTGATCAGCCACTGTGGAAAAGTGACAGATATTTTAGAAAATGGATACAAATATGTTGTCTGACTTAAATTTATACATAGTTAAAAAGAGTCAGATTACCTTTAATTAAAATCAGTTTATAACTAAGATTTGAAATGTTTAATTATGCAGTCTAGTTCTTGGATAAAAGTATTTTTTCATAAGAAGCTTTGATAACTTTATGTATTTACAGCCATTTTCCTTAAATTGCTAACTTAGTTAAAAAAACTTACTGCCACGCGCTTTAAAACTTGTTTACATCCAGTTTGTATGGACAGGGTATCTGAGAGGTTGTAAACTCTTAATTATCGTTATGGGGAAAAGTTAAATGTTACGGGGTTTTTATGCTAACAAAAAAAAGTAAAATAGAGAAATATTTAAAAAATTACAACAAATATGTTACAAACAAATAGCAGATTTATGCATAACAAGTAGCTTTAAGACAGTAGCATCAAAAACTGTTAGTAATCAGAAAAAAAAATCTACACAGAATGAGTGCCAAGTTCCAAAATCTACTATCTTCCCTTTTCTTTGACTACTTTTCTAATGACAGCTGCAAAAAACTGTGTGGCTGTCAAAGGTTGTTTACTGAAGGGAGGAGTAATAAATGTTATTGTGGGGAGAGCAAAGACTAAGAGATTATTTGGAATCGGTTTAGTTGTCCAATTTACATAACTGCCCAGTTATGCTATCAATATTCTTTTTCATCTCTCTGCTGACAGACAGGTAGATGAAACCATTTACAAAACAGACCAATTTATACGATGTGGATGTACTAGTGAGGTGCTTTGGGTATTTTTAAATTACAATGAAACTTACAGAGTGATTAGCTTCTACCCAGTTACTTGCAGTGTTGGCACATCCACAGGGCAAACACTTCAGTCCTGCAAGTACAGTGAAATGTCAGGGATTATGCTTTCAGTTTTCTGCAGCTCTTAAGCCAGAAGTGAAGGAAGATTGATCCTGGGAGACTTGAGTTTCCAAGCTCTTATTTGCTCCGTGAACTTTCGTGCTTGTTAAGAATCCTCTTAATTAATGGGTGGAAGAATTCCCTCCCCCTACCCTCCCTAAAAGCAAGTCTGTAGTAACTAGATTAATGTGTTACAATTATGAAGGTTTAAATGGTTATTGGTAGAGAGGGAGAAACAAGAATTTCAATTTTAGGAACCAGAAAGTTTACTTTAAACAAAACAAAATAGTCTTGAACAGCAGATACGCTCTGGGGCCTGGGAACACTGTTGGTGGTGTCTTGGAAAAAACAAAAATCTGATGCATAATTTTGCAGAGCGAATTTTGTTAATTTAAGCTGACCTACTTTCGAGGGAGGAATGCTCTGTGGTGCAAACTCCCGGCCCCATGTGAGCTCTGGCTGTGTCCTGCCTCAGTGGTAGGAGGTGGGCTGAGTTATGCATCCTTGCACTGTGTGTCTGGGTTTCCTTCTGATGGAAACCTGAGCATGTGAGTAGGGTCAGAGCTAGCATATAATCAATGTGTGTGTGTGTGGATGGTTGGGGGGAATACAGGAGCATGGGGTATACCAAGCAGTGCTCTTTTCCTTTAGTTGGGACTTTGCGAAGTGCATATCTGAGAACGAGGGCTACAAGCTCCCTATATCTCTGCCCAGTGATGTAGATTCAGAGTTAGTACTTAAGCATCTCTTTATATTTGCTACTTTAAAGGCAAGAGTTATTTTGTTCATGGAACATTCACAGAAATTCAGGGCAGCCACTGGCTGGCTGCTATATATGTTGTGTTTAGCAAGGTACCTCTGATGGCATTTGAACAGCTGTGTTTCCTCTTCACTGTTGACCCCAGGAGGGGAACAGCTGAGGCTGCTGTGAGCATGGCAGGGCTGTGCAGCCTGCTGAATACTTGTCAAGAATTATGTTCGAATGTCTTGTTCTTCAGTAAATTAACAGAAACCTTATTTGGGGAAAGGAGCTGATGATTATTTGTTAACTTTTAACAAAATAGTTATGTTTCTTCCATTATCAGATTACCTGTGGGGAGTTATCTCAGCTCATTTGTCTGTCAATGTCAAGTATCTGTCAGTATATTCTGTTAAAAGTTTTTCATATTTGATCTTACTGTAGGCAGATTAATAGTGGCCCTGGCCTGGCACTGAGTGGTTGCACCCGAGAATAGAGGACTCCTGGATTCTGCATTTTTGGGTCTAGGTCTAGCTGCAGTGAGCAAATTCGGAAAAGCCAGCTCTGGAGAAATAGCAACTGTGGTAATAGTGTAGTGCTGCTTTATGGGCATAGGATTAGGAGTCTTCCTCCCCAGCCCCAAAGAGTCTCGATACTTGGACTTTACTACTCTGCTAAACAAAGGCCAGGGTAGGTTTGAGGCTGGCATTCCAGTGAAGTATTAACAAGCCTGTACCACACCAGGTAATGTAAGTGACAAGCTACAGAGATGCTGTTTTGGGAAGACAGTAGTGTTCAGAATATTAAAGTGTTAGTGTTTGAACTATTGCTGTAATCTATTTTGCACTAATTCAACTGTTTTTTTCTGTTTTGTTAGCAGAAGAGCAGTTGTATGGGGTTCCTTCATAAAAGTCTGAAAAATAAATTTCCTGTATTATAGGATGTAAACCTGGAGGTCCTCAGTCAGTCACGGTCTGTCCTGGGTTGCCGCAGAGGAAGCCGCCCTCTGCATTCTGGCCGTAGGGAGCTATCCTTGTGTTGGGATCATTGCAGGGTGAATGAGCTTACATTTAGGGCATCTGTGTATGCAGAAAGATGCGCAGGCCCCTAACTGCTCTCTTTTGTTGTAATTAACTTACTGAGTAAATGTTTTTTGAGCATCTGAAAGTAAAAATACTGCTAGTTTTGGCATTAGTAGTGAATAAAAGCAGTGTAGATGACTTGCTTTGTGTCATGCGGCATTCCCTTTGGACTGTAAAGTAGTAAACAGCTAATATCCTCACAGGGATTTCTGCATTTATCCACTTCCACTGCAGATTTTAAACTATTCTGTTGATGTCTTTTGGTGAATTGATCATTAAGTCATATAGCTGGTAGAGACTTGAGCAGATCAGAGGATTTTTATGGGATTTGTTAAAATGAACCATAAGTTGTGAACCATATTATTATGGAGCAAGTTAGCTACAGTATGAGGATAGAAACAATTTCCTGTGATGCTTCATCTACTACTATTATATAGCTTTTAAAGTATGGCTTGATATTCAGATAAACATTGTGAACATTAGATGCCAGGCTTGAAGACTCAAAGCTCAGTATATCATCCAAAATGTTGGAAGCTTTTTCTTTTAAAATAATTCACTTGAGGCAATCAGATTATATAAACTGCAGTACCTTCATGAGTTCAGAACACACTGGTTTTAGATGCTGAGAGTTACTGTTTAAAAAAAAAAAAAAATTCAGTACTGATGTGGGTAAAAATGTAAATACTGGCAAAATGCAAGAGCAATGAATTGACTGATGGGGAGGATGAGAGGGGAAGGGAAGCAAACATGTCAAGAGAAGGCTCAGGAAGGTCTCATCTCTTCATTGTTTTCCTTTTGCTTCCCCAGAGAGGGGCCATGGGGTAAGGAGACAGCAAAAGGTGAACATCTCAGATGGGAAGGAGCCCTTCCTGTGCGATGGAGGCTGGCTAGGCTAGGACCTGAGGGGAGAAGGCATTTCCCCAGGGTCCTCAGGCAAGAAGGGATGGTGGAGGGAAAACTCTGATGGCACTTGCAGTACTGCTGAGTCTTTGATTAGGGAACTACCTTGGTTGCAGAGAGTTTGTCATAGAAGTTGATGCAAACATTTAGAGCCTGACGGGCAGAAACGACTTAATATGAGGCTTGGGAGTGTGGGCCAAAAGGTTTGAAGAGTAGTGCCTGGAGATTTGGGACAGGGCAGAGCCTGCTGAGATGCGCAACCTTCAAATGGGGGGGGGGGGAAGTGCTCCTCTGACTTATGAGGCTATGCTACACCAAAAGCCGTCAAATTTTAGATTATAGTTTTGCATTTTTTTCCTAGTAGTATATTCCAAAAAAGGTTACTAGTACCCATAAAAATTCAAAATTATGTTCCCAAAGGAGGAATTCTGGCAGAAGAATCAATGCATTTCAGTAATTCTTTTACTGGATGGTCAGGTTCTGTTATTTTTCCCAAGCAGAGCAGGTTGGACTCATTTAGTAATTGAGTAGGGAATGCCAAATTAACACCAGTCTCTGTTCAGTGCAAATGCCTTGTTGTGGATGAGAAGTGCAACTCACATTCTGAAATAATCTTTAAAGAATCCCATGGCACTCTTTATACAAGTGCTGGTATTTAACTCTGTTAGTCTGGGTGGTTTCCAACTTAAGTCTTTGAATTTTCTGTCCTTAACTTGTATTTAATACAAGTTTTTTGTTTTAGTAGTTGTCTCAGTGGGACTAACTTGTAAAAATATTCTCCACTGTCAGAGTTCCTTCTTCAGTTGGAGACAGCAATTTCCAATTTATTTTTTTATCTTTCGCACTGTTGTGTCTTGGAGTATGTTGCCCCAGAAGTGAAACTAGCAGCAGTGTGGTTTAGGTAATTCCACGCAAAGCTTTTGAAAGGCTCTAGTATTAAATACTAACACAGCACTAATACAG